CCATGTCTTTGTTTCTTGGAGCTGAGCCTGCCAGGAGCTCCTGCTCTGTGCCCACCTCTGCTCTCTCTCAGTAGTCCTAGAGCCAAGAAGGCTTCTCCTTCCCGGCCAGGGGTTGTTGCTTCCCCCTCGGCTACCCCGAGCACCTTGGGGAGCTCCCAGGCAGGCTGAGCACTGACCCTGGCAGGTGGCAGAGTCCCTACCCCGGCACACAGCCCCTGGACTGCAGGGACCCCGCTCGCAAGGACAGCGCTGGGCACCGCTGGCTGCACACCCACGTTCAACACCCTGCAGCCAGGCCCGGGACAAGGGACCTGGCTTCTCCTCTCACTGCCATGGTGCAGAGGGTGGTGCAGAGGCATACCTACTTTACAACTTTTAACGAGTGCTGGAGTCAGCCCGTGCATCAAGGGAAGCCCTGCTCTGCAGCACATCCTCCTCCTTACCGAAACAGACAAACCGAGACAGTCCTGACAGATGCCATGCACTGTCCCAGGCAGCAGCCTGAGGAGATCCCTCCAGGAGCTGCAGCTGCATTGCCCTGCACCCAGAGCCTTATCACGCGCAGGGCTGGGAATGTTTCTCTCGCAGAGACCTCTCAGCATCCTCCACTGCCGAGTGCCTTTAAGCTCTCTGAGGCTCGCTGGTCTGCCCTGGGTCCGCCGCCGGCCGACCCCGAGCAGAGCGGGGCTTGGGGGCGGGCCGGGGCGTGCCAGGGGGCGGCGGTGCCTCGCCAGACCCAGCGGCGGCGGCGGCTCGCCCAGCGCCGGCACTTCCAGTACCGGGAGAGCCCGGCGGCGCCGCGAGCCCCTGCGGGGGCCTGGCGGGGGGACGAAGGGGGCACCATCGCTGGGAACGGCGGAGGGAGGGCCCCGAACCGCCGAGAGCTGCCGCTGCCGCTCAAAAGGCATTAACCTGTGCCTAACAAGTCCGCACACTTCCCATGAGAACATCACTGGTGGGGTACCCTGTTTGGATGGTCAGCAAGAGCAACTGGTGAATTTTACACTGAATTTTACATCCTACCATAATTTCAGAAACATCCTTGCATAGCTAAGGGACTTAAACACATTCTAAACAACTGAGTAAACCAAGGAAACTTTTCCCTCAAGTTATAACCGCAATTCAGCACTACTCTGTTTGGAAGCACAGAGACAAGGGGTGACCACACCACTCTGTGAGAAGGATGGATTGAGGGAGACCTTTGTTGCTGTTTCTCCTACAACACAGGGGAGTAGAAAATGAAATATAACTTTTAATAACTAACATACAGACATAACAGACACGGAGGGGCTCAACGCACCCAGCAAAGCAAAGCAAAGCAAGGCGGTGCTGCTGGCAATGGGGCCACAGCGGGGCTGTGCCAGGGCCAAACCCTGCTCCCGCAGCACATCCTGCCCCCTCCTTACCTCCCCACTGACAGCTCAGGGCCCGGGGGCTCCTGCACCTCGGGGGGCACCTCTGAGCTGGGGCAATGACCGGCCTCGATGGGGAACCTGCGAGCCTGCAGCGCGCGCCGGGAGCTCATGGCTGGGGGAGAGGAGCAAGCGTTGGGACCCTCGCCAGCCCCGCAGCATCGCCCTGCCCAGCCCTGGGCTCCGGGTGAGGACGTCCCAGCCTGCACCCACCTCGCTGAGCATCCGCCACCGGGACTGAGCAGCACCGCCCTGCGTCACCATGGTAACCCCGGGGATTCTCAGGTCCCTTTTGTGAGCTGTCCCCCCCAACACAGCCCAGGGTGCCTCTAGGATACTGCTGAGGATTCGCCGTGGGATGAACTGAGGGAGCAAAGGGAAGGCATGGAGGGCTTTTTGCTCGCTCATGGCTACCAGCTGGGCAGGACCATTGGAGGGGGGACGTACTCCAAAGTGAAGGAGACCTTTTCCCAAAGGCACCGCCAGAAAGTGGCCGTTAAAATAACTGATAAGAAGGAAGTGCCAGAAGGTAAGAGGTGACCCCGAAAGGGCTCCAAAGAGGCACTGTCCGTCCTCAGGGGCTTTGAATTCCCAGCAAAAAGCTGGTTTCCCACCCTTGCCACCGGACAGCGGTTGGGCAACCATCCAGAGGGACCTTGACATGCTTGTGAGCTGGGCTGATGCCAACCTCATGAAGTTTAACCATGCCAAGTGCAAGGTCCTACACCTGGGTCGGGGCAATCCCAGACACAGCTACAGGTTGGGCAGAGGAGAGATTCAGAGCAGCCCTTCAACGACACCGACATCCCCCGCATGCTGCACCAGCAGCAGAAGGGAGTCTCGGTGCCCGCGCACCTCGGCATCTCCAAGGAGGGGCAGAACCTCCTCAGGATGCTCCTGGAACCGGACATGGGGCTGAGGCTGTCCATTGAGGGGGTCCGCAGGCACCCCTGGCTGACCAACCCCCGATCTCCCCACATGGAAGCGTTTCTAATACTAACATCAATTTGGAGGTCAGTGTCTGTCGTGTCTCCAGCCTCGCAGGTGACCGTGCCACTCGTGCTCAGGCAGCCACTCTCTGCTTCAGCTAACACCCGTGACTGCCACAGCAGCATCCCAAGCTGAGCCTGTGTCCTCAGGGAGCACCTCACGCCTTCCAGAAGCTGCTCTATGCAGGCAATAGCTCATAGGCAGAGCAGCAGCAGTCACAGCTCTCTGGATGCAACCCTATGTGAGGGAGCACCTCCCTGGACTCACCTCCCCGGCCATTTCCACCTTCGAGAGTGCCAGCTGCACCTCTTCTTCACTCATGTCCAAATCAAAGTCCTTTTCCCAGTCCTCACTGATGTCAGTGCTGGAGCCTGGAACCACAAACATCACGATGGAGCTCTTAGAGCTGTGCGTGCTCTCCAGATGCTCTGGCCCAAGCACACAGGTGCCCAAGCAGCCCCACACAGCCCTGCCATTCATTGAGGCTCAGATCTCCTGTAGCCTGGGAGGAGAGAAAGCCCAGGAGCAGGCTGTCAGCTCACCAAGAGAGACGGGGTGGACTGAGTTGTACTTGCCTCGCAGCAAAGGGCTGGTCCAGAACAACTGGCACAGGTGAACAGTGAAATGTGTTCTCCTCTGCGCTGGGAGAACTGGGATGTGTCACGTTTCAGTCACACAGAAAATACATCAGATAAGGAATAACAAGGACTGTCCCAGTCCCCAGTAGAAAGAACAACCTCCTGAGGCAGAGGAGCAGCACGGACACTCCTCAAGGTGACACTCAGAGGGAAGGAACCACCACATTCCCTTCCCAGACCCCAGAGCCAGCACCCAGGGACAAAAGCCCTGCTGTGTCCAGCCAACAGGCTTTGGATTTCTTGTCTAACTTCATTCTGTCCCAGCTCATGAACCTGGCCACCGTGCTGCATCCTGGCCTGCTTCCAGTGGCTTTGTAATCCTACAACCCATACAATCACTGCTCTGGGAGCCCTCCAGCAGACTCTGCTGAAGGCAGCAGCCTCTGCAAGGAAAGGGGTGTGAATGATGTCAGCCAGAGGGTGGAAGAGCCTCCCCTGTCGTAGGGAGCTCGGGACAGAGCCAACTGTGGCACCAGCCCAGCCACCTGCCCGGAGCAGGTTGTCACTAGCTGATGAGACCAGCCTGACCCTGCCCAACAGCAGAAGGATTTCCTTCCACTTTAGTTCTGGCCATGAGGGAACTCTTTGGATCTACGCTTCCTGAGCAACCTTGGCAAAATCCCTTTCCTCCTCCCTATCATCATGAAAATCACAGTCCTTTCCCCAAAAGCTGCCACCCCCAGCAGCAGGTTTCAGGCCCTGTGCTGGCCCCCACGTACACACCTTTCCTGCCATTGTTGGAGGGAGTGGATCTCCCACTATCCCAGTTCAGCTCGAAGACTCGTAGATCAGATGGTCCTTCCTCTTTCAGAGTCTCTGGCCTGGCCTGGGCTTTGCTCTCCACCCCTTTGAGCTCGGTAGCAGCCGGTTGCTCTGAGGATGCTGCTGATTCCCGGGTAGGTGCAGGACGAGCAGGGTCTGGGGGCTTTGGCAGGGAGCTCTGCTCTTCCGAGGTGGCCTCCACCAGCTCCTGGGAGAGCTCTCCAGCCCCAGCTGGTTCTACAGCTCCGGTCTGTAGCTGCGCAGCAGGCACAGAGGCAGGGTTTGCAATCTGAGTCACAAGGGAGACGCTCTCACTGCTCTCAGAGGGGCTCCCCTCTGCTGGGGCCGGCTCCGGAGGGAGGATGGCCCAGCTCTCCTCTGAGGGTCCCTTGTGAGCAGTGGGCTGCCTTCCCTCCGGGGCTGAGGGGCACACTCTTTCTCTGCTGCTTCTGGCAATGGGACGTTTGCACAAGGCAGGGGGGACATCCCCAAGAACCCCGGCCCAGCCCAGCCCCGTTCCGTCCCCTCCCGACCCGCTCCCGTCCCGGCACCGGCGCCGCTTTCACCCCTCCGCCATCTTGGCGGCGTGACGTCACCAATATTTACCGACCCCTCACCCCTCATCTACCTGGGGAGCCAAAGCAGAGTCATCCTCTACTCCAAAGTAGTGCTCAATCAGGTCAGAGGCCTTCTGCTAGATCTCTTGGTTCTCATGGCTCTGGAGGAACTCTCTCTTATCCAAACCTTGGAGGGAAAGAGAAATGGAATGCGATGAAACGAGGGGATCCTGGTATTTGCAACCCCACATCCATCCTCCGCCCTTCCCCTGTTCACTACAAGACCTCTGTCTGCGTTACATTTGGGGTTGGTGAGCAGCACCGACATCTAAAACTATTCCAGAGCTCCTTGTGGCTTTCCTATCAGGCAGCATTCATGTCTCTTCAATAGCCTGTTTCGCTGACACAGCTAAAGCAGCTGCACCCCCAGCTCTGCCGGGGACAAACCCACATTTCAGTGAGGTTAAACCAAGTGGCACAAGCAGTTGCTGGGGGTCTGGAGGGGAAGGAAGCAGTGCCTGCCCCAGTAGCCTCCAGTGGAAGGGCAGCAGCAGCTTTCCATGTCCTAATTAAACCCACCAAATTAAGCTGCTCCAGGGAAAAGCGAAGCTCTCTCTGGATTTCCATGGAACATCCACCGTGTATAACTGGGTCCCGTTAGAGCAATTTCACACCTAGAAGTGTCACTTTTTACTTAGCTCAGCTCGTTTCCAATTAATTCTGCTACAAGCCACAATTACCAGCTCAGCTGCAGGGCTAGGAAGCATAGACCAGAAGTAGGATAGCTTTTACTTCCAAGTATTTTGTCCTATGCCCAAATCCTAAAGAGTCTAAAGACACCAGTGGAACAAATCTTGGCTAGTTTGGGGTATACTAAATCCTTTAGCACAGCAGAAAAGCAACAACAGAACTAACAGACACCTTGTGCTGTTCAAAGCCAACAGCACCAGGGCCACAACCTACCATAGGCCTCCTCAATCAGACTGCAGTACGGGTTGATGCCTGTCCCACTCTGGTTGGCTTCCTGCTCTCCAAGCCTCAGGATGTTCTCCAGTCCGTTCAAGGCCACCTGCACAATCTTGGAGCCCATGACAGTCAGCAGGTCACAAAGAGGCTTGATACAACCCAAGTTTACCAAGTATCTGAAGGGAGAGCACGGGGACACACACTGCTCAGGATGTGGAGTTCAATCTGTCATCAGGTTTGGACATTTAGCCTGCTCTGAGCTCTCTGGAGAGGCAGGGGGAAGCAGACTGGATTTGCTTCTCCTGATTCAGAAGGAAGCTGCAATTCCCAGCTCAGGGCACGATCCAGCTCCAGCTCTGCCCCAGGTACCCTCCCAGAGGTTTTCCACATCACCCCCTTGGCCTTGTCTCACCGGTCCCACAAAGATACAGCTTCCATACACTGACAGCTGTCCCCCAGGAGGAGCCACAGGGAATACCTGATCTGCTCAGGGGTTCCTCCTGACGTCACGTTGGTGATAGCCCACGCTGCCTCCTTCCTCGTGCGGAATTCTGCTTTCTGCAAGATCTCTATCAGGACTGGGAAGATGTTTGCACCTATGACTGCCTGGGGAGAGAGCAGCGAGAAGGGCTTGAGTTGGCAACGTGAGAGAAACCTCCACCTCCATTTGTCAGTGCAAAAGAGCTTTCCAAGCTGTGCTCTTCACCAATTCCTCAGCCAAATCCTATTACCACAAGACAGTCGGTCCCACAACCAGCCCACAGCAGACAACCCCTATTACTGCAGCAGTATTGTAGCAGCGCTCCCATCACTCATCTGCCTTTATGTAGGGCATGAAAAGGATAAATTACAACTCAACAAGATCCAGCTTTTCAGAGGGGTACCTCTAACAGAGCAGGGAGATGCAGGGGCTGTATCTGCTCCTGCTCCAATGATCTAACCTGTGGCACTCATTTCAGGCCAGTCTTTGTTGGAACCATTAAAAGCTTTTCTTAGCTCCGTTGGCAGATGGCTGGGAGCAGCGAATTTGCACATTACTGCAGAATGAGAGATGTGAACAAACCCAGCCTCTGACTGCCAGGGAAAAAAGCTGAGAACCCTTAATGCTGAGCTTGGAATTGAGCTTCACTGCAGGTGGGCTGGAGAAGACCCTACCTGTATCTGCGCTCTGTTTCCTGCTGTGATGTTGGATATAGTCCAGCAGGCTTCTTCCCTGATTGATTCCTTGGAACTACTTAATAAGTGAAGGTGACAAGGCAGGGCTGAGCAGTTCAGAATCACCTTTGGAGAAAGAGAGCAGAAGTGAGATCACCAGTGTCAGGTCCAGAGCTGGAGCTGGGCACAAAATGAAGCAGGCACTCCAACATCTGCTGCAGAGGAGGATGAGCCTCAGAAGGAAGAACCTCCCTGTTCCGTGGGAGACAGGCACTTCCCTCACCTGGGTCTGGATGTCATCCCCTGTCACGATGTTACCCACTGCTCGCAGAGCTGGAGAGGCCACTTTGTAGTCGTTGTGCCTGCAGGAGAAACAGCACAAGGACAAAGCCAAGTCTATCAGATCACACACAGGCAGAAGATTCTCTCCCCAGCAACTCATCTGCATTGTTTGCTGACAATCCCTCCCCCTAGCACACGGTAATACTGACATTGAAAACAAAGTCACAGAGCAGAGATTTTCATCCTAACTCCATCATCTTAAGATGGCTCAATTACAGATCTCACCTCTTACATACCCCCCTTGCCTGACCAAAAGATGATGTTAACCCAATGAGAACACCCAGACTGTTTCAGGAGAATGTTGGAAGCAACTATCTCCCAGCTCTGAAGCTCTTAGAGGCTCATTCCTCTAAGAACTCCTCCATATAGGGATCAGAGCAACAAAGCCAAGCTGATTTTTGGTAGACACTCTTTTTACTACCTGTGGATCTGCCTAGGAACTGGCCTTCCGTAAGCACGTTTGAAGGTTGACAGCGCAAGACACACTGCAGTCCTCTCTCCTTTCACACCTTAGAAGCATCATTCCAACCTCTCTTTAGCAAGTTTATCCCAGCTCACAGGAGGAACCCAGCTTCTCTCAGAAAGAAAAGACAGGAGACTACAGCTCTCAACCTGCTTCAGACCCTCCTATGCCATCACTGCTCTGAAGTCAGCTACAGCACCCACTACCTGGATCCTAAGCACACAAGAAGTGTGAAGGGTGCTCTGATGGGCTTTGACATGAACTGAGGTTCAGGCACACGCTTCCCATTCTCACTGGGCTGAAGCAGCAAGACAAGATACTCACATTAAGAGCTCCACCAGTCGCCGACACACTCCCGAGTCAGTAACTGCTTGGATTTTCTCATTGGGAGCATCTGATAGGTAGGAAAGAGCCCAGCAGGCATCTGCCAACAGGTCAGAGTCACTGCTGAACAACAACCGGACAACACTGGCAGGCAGGGAGACACCTACAACAACAGCCACCACCCCAGGTTAGTCACACTGTGGCCAGGACCACCACGTTTGCATGCAAAGCACCACGTGCTTCTGCTGACCAGCAAGATAACAAGGCTTGGATGTCCACTGTTTCCTCCCCTAGAGTCAGCAGCTTCCTTGTTGGTTCACACACCTTATCATCAGGGTCTGAAGTTACTTCAGCAGCGTTACTGCTAAAGTGAAATTACATCCCTTCCTCTAGGACCAAGTCTGGACTCCTGGGATAAGCGCTACCGTGCAGGCTACCATTTGGAAGCTCCTTACACATCTTGTGGAAGAGCACTGCTCAAGTTCTTATTCCTGATAACCCCAAATAGCTCTGTATTCAGAGCAGCAACCACCAACAGCTCCACCTCTGAGTACTTTGATCATTTGTAAGTGATCTTATATGACACTCCATTGAGATTTCATCCCAAGGTGAGAGATGGAATCTGAACAGAGTGTCAGCTCTCAGGCTTTGAGGGTCAAAACATTGATCTGAATGGTTTTCTTCTACCAAAGAAGGATGAGACAGCTGAAAAGCCAGCAGACCCTTTTGTTAGTGCCAGCAGCACACCAGGAAAGGGGGAAAGCTCCCACCGCCCCAGGACTCCTGTTTTGTAGCATTTAAAGGTCTCAGAATCAAGTTTTCAGTCACAATTTGAGTGAAGTCTCAACATTCCAGTGTGGATTAAAAAGGCTTAGGGAAGCCCACAGCATAGGCTGCCTCACAGGGAAACCTGTGCCTGCCCCTTCCTCGAGGGCTCCAGCTGATGGGCTGCCACTGGAGCTGGGCAGAAAATGAATGGGTACATAAGCACCTGCTGAGCAGCAGGATGAGTCTCAGCAGGGAGAACCTCACCCTCATCCCTCCCAGAGTGACTTAGAGAAGTCCAGCGGTCAAAAAGAATTGAGGCAACCATGGACCCTGGGTGTCTCCCCATCCGCTCTCTGCCAACAAGGCATTTCCTCTCACCTTATTAAATTCAGGTGGTGGACTCTTTCCTCTGCACAAGTTTGACAAGGCCCAGACAGCATTTCGTCTCATTGTCAACCTGGTGGACTTCGTAAGGAGCCTAAAGAGACAAGTAGCAGGAATTATCATCCTTCATGTGGAAGCCAGCAAGGGAATCAAGAGGAAAAGAACCAGTGTGATTTTAAGGAAGTCGAAGCACTATTCCACTTGCTGCAGCTCAAGCCATGCTGTGTGCCTCCTGAGCGTCTCCATAAGCAAGAAGAGAAGTGACATGCAGCTACTTCTTAGGATAAAGAGCTTTTATGGCTGCCCACAACAAGGGACGTGGGTCAAGGAGGCAAGTTCCACATTGGAGAAGTCACAGAAGGAAGGGCAAGTTAGTTGAATTGCAGTTCCAAGTTCAAATTCAGCCCAGGCAGCCGCTCACACCCTATCTGAGGTCAGACGGTCCTCACCAGAGGACACAAACTGCTGTCACTCCACTCTCATGAGGACACCAAGTCCTGTGGGCTGAGGACTTGTCAGCAGTCACTGCTGCCAGGTGACTGACACAAGTAGCAGTGTAACGATCCATTTGTGCTAAAGCAGCAGCTTGCCGAGGCCAGGATAAAGCTTCCTTCTTTCCAGAGCAGTGAAAGCACATGTCTGACAGACAGCCCCTGGCTCTGCTGGGCATGCACCACACTCAGGAGCTGCAGAGGGGAGGTGCCTACAAAGACCTGCTCCCTGTCGCCAGCCCTAGATAGAGGAGCCCACTCAGACAAGCACCTGAAATCCACAGTGTAAGCACAAAGAGCAGGCATCTGGAGGGACACACCGTGAGCACTGTGACTCCAGAAAGACAAGCACACTGCACAGCACCAGCTTCAGACTGAGCATAGTGGAAAGGTTTGTGAGAAGGCATGTCAGCTACCGAGTCCCACTCCGTATCAGATACTTGTCCGAACTGCTGGTTTAACTGGTACCAATGGTTTGATTCCCTGCAATCACCACCATCAATTGCTAGGGAATCTATTCACCCAGCGCAAATATGGCTCTGCTGTAGGGCACTGGGACATCAGCAACTGGATTGGCAAGTATTCATGGCTACTCACATTAATAAGGGAGGAAGAATAGCGCAGTTAAGGACATAATCTCTACACAGAGAGCTGTCTCCAGCAATGTTCCCCAATGCCCAGACAGCCTGAAAGGAAACAGCAACAGTTTTAGGATTCACACAGTTTCTGAACAGAGCAAGAAGAGGGCAGTGTGCTACGAAAGCATTTCCCTGTAATTCCAGGCAAGCTGGAACTGAAGCCAGTTCTTAGACACCGGCCACGCAGCTTTAACACCACATTTTCATCACCGGCAACCCCACTGTGGTTCTCTCCCTAACCCCAAAGTAAGAAGTGAACCTTACCTCTTCTTGAGCATCCTCAAAGTCAGAGTTTAGCAGCTCTATGAATATAGGAACTGCCCCAGCTTCAATTACTATTTTTGTTTGTTGGCAAGTTCCTGATGCAATATTCGTCAGTGCCCACGCCGCTTCGAACTGGAACAACCAAAGAAGTGACAAGAGCATGACTAAAACAATCCCGATTTAGCAAAATATTTGCCAGCAAGTTGTGGCTATCATTCTTTTGACTTCTACTAAAAAGCTTGTGAGAGAAAAACCATATCCCAACGGCTCCGGATTTGAAGGAAAGGCTCTTACTTTCCTGAGCACTAAAGACCCACATCTGCTAAATGCCTTCTTGGAGGCTCTGAGGATAGATAGGAGAGCAGGAGGCAGAAGGCATCACCAGTCACACCTCATCTTTTCACCCATACAACTACCTTCCAGCAAGAAAGCTGCAGACACACAGTGCACAAACACACCTACCTGGAGCAGATCACTTCCATCCCTCTGCCCCATGGCAGCATCAGCTCTACCTAATCTCTTCCTAACAGACTCTTCACCTGTATTTAACAGCCTCCAATAAAGGCTTCTCCTCACACAATTTCTCCCTGCGCACACGTTCCATGACTCCACTAGCTCCCAGCAAAGACAGGGAGGCCAAATTCCCTTCTGCTGCGGCTCAACTATGGTATTTTTGCCACCATTCTTCCAAGAATTTAATTCAGAGCCATTTATTTCATTTCTTGCCTAAGCATTACAGGCTCCCTTTGCCTTCTCCCATCCACCACAGAGCCTGCACCTTTCAGGTTCAAGACACCACTTTTCCCTGATAGCCCCTGTGGGTTCGCGTTGCTGAGCTGTGAAGGTTCCACAGCTCCATGCCACGATGATTCCCCAGCAGCATCTCCTTTACCTGTAGCGTGCAGTTCTCACTCCTCTTCAGGAATTCCACAAATCTGTCCACCACTCCTTGAGTGTTTATCACTTCATCTATTGGACGATTCGGCTCTGGAACAGCAGAACAGTGTCAAAAGAGCACACAGGTCTACCAGGGGATGAGCTGTCACTGAACGATCCCAACCTGTACCAAACCCAGCAGGACAACTCTCCACAATCACTTCCTGTGTAATTCATACAACCAGAAATCATTACAATGTACCAAATTCCAGATTTCTTCCCCCCAGCCTCAAAGCTACTAAGTTTCTGTCCAGCAATACACGAGCACAAATGCTTGTAGAAGACAGGTTACATCAGAGCTGATGGCAGGAAGAAGTGACTTTTACCTTTGGAGAGTCACTTCCTGAATTTCTGAGTGGTTGCTAGCTGTAGGTCGGGGTCATCTGAGAAAAGCATCTCTACCATCTCTCTTGTGATCACTCCCTCCTGAAAGCACGCACAGGAGACAGAACGAGGGTTCCATTTCACACTAAGGCACCACAGTCCTGACAGCCTACCATCATTTTGGACTTAGCCAGTAATCCAAACATACAAATTGGAGATCTCAGCACATTCTTTGCTTCCTGACAGACTCTTCCAGTTCACTGAAGTGATATTTGCAACGTTCTCAAAAGTGAGAAAGCAAAAACCTCTCAAGTTAGTCAGCTCTCTGCTGTCCCCATTGTTAAATCTACCCACAGGCATGATCACAGTAAGGCACCTACCCCACGTGTGGTGGAACTGACGTAGGGATCCACAAGGAGACTATCGAACATGGAGGCATCTTCACTGATCAACTGCACATTTCTTCTTTTAAAGAGCTGGGGAGGACCAAAACACAGGAGGCATTATTAGAAAGCAATGATGTACAGTCTTCAGAACTAGACATTCTTGTTCCTCAAACAAGACACTGTCAGCTAGGCTGAGCCCAACCTGAATAGAGAAGCAGTCATTAATAACAGCTCTGCCCTCTGAAGCCTAGTTTGGCACCAAACCCCGGTAATAAAACATGCCAGGTCTTGCCCTCAGACACTGGTCTGCAAGTGCAGAATTGGCCTTCACAAGTGAGAGAAACCAGGCAGAAGGCAGCTGGTAGGTGATGCACTGAGAGAGCAAACACTCTGAGCCACACAGCACCTCCTAGGTTCACAGACCTCCAAGGCAAAAAGAAAACCACAGCTCCAAATTACTACGTGCACCCCATACTCCCGCTTGTGCTTCCTGCTTCAGGGAAACAGTCCCATTCACCAACTAACCCAAACACCCCTTTACCAACAAGGATCTGTGAGCAAAAACCTCCAATACCCCAAGGAAAAAGTGCTCGGAAAGCTCTGGATACGAGCTGTGTGCTCTGCACCGGCTACGAAGAGAAAGAGAAAAGCAAGATCTCGGTTAGAACAGGAAAAATAAGAGGACTGCCAACGAACCTTAATGCACAGATCCCTGAAGATTCCCTTCGGCAGCAGCACAATCCTGGGTGTGTTAAGGCTGTACACAAGCTACTCAAGGTGACAGTTACCTGTTGCTCTCGTCTCTCTTTGCGCAGTTGAATTCCTTCCTCTTCTCTTCTGCGGCGCATTTCCTCGGGCTTTAGGGCTTTGTTCTTGTAACTCTTCATTCCATAGTTGTCCTTGGCAGGGCTCGCCATGGTCTCTGGGAGGAGAAGACACCGCCTGCCTCAGCTCTCTGCTCCGTTAACCCACACAGCCTTGCTGACAAGGTAGCCCGGGCACGTGAAGCAGCACGAAATAGCAGATCAGACTTAGAAATGATCCCAACCTTAGCTCATGTCAGAGGCTGCTATGGCAAGGGGGTTAGGAAGTTTGTAGGAAGCGTAACTCCAGAAGGAGCCCAGACCCAATGGGATAGTATCAGGCACATACCCACGGGAAAGGCTCCTACGCAAACAGCTTCACTGTCCTCACGGGGTGCACAACTAAATTCCACTTGGGTTTTAAGCAGAAATGCCTTCCCTTGTGTCATCAGGGCATAAACCACACCTCGACTTTCTTCTCCTCACTGAGCTCACCACGTACACACAGCAAAAAGCCAAGAGGACTCCCAAGCAAACCGTGGCCTTGATGCTATAACAATGGTACCAGACCTTGCAGAGAGCAGGGCTGCACATCATGTACAGGCCAGGTTGTCCCACCAGGTACTGCCAGGGCTCAGTACCTGACCTACTTATTTTGCTGGTTCCTACCTGCCTCACGAAGCCATTCTTGGTGACTGTAAAGGTGCCTCCCAGTCAGGGAAGTGACACTCTACTATTTGGCACAGGGAAAAGGCAAGCAGGGCCAAGCAGAAACCAGAGGACAGAGGGATATCAACTCCCCAGCTGCATCCAGCTCTAATCCACTGCTCTGCCCATGTCAACTCCTTCTTGCCTCTCTCCAGACTCCTCCTTTCTCCCATTTACAGTCACTTGCTTAACGTCCATGCCTTTCTCAGGACAGGAGCAATCACGATACACAACATCAGAGCGCAAATCAACCCCAAGACCAACTTCCTCTCCTCCAGAACTCTGCTGGCCACCAATATCTGTTTCCACCCAACTGCTGAGGGCAGGTGGAAGAAGTGCCCTGTGAAGGTTTGCAGTGCTGTCTCCTTCCCCTCCTCTTTCCAGCTTCAGGCACTCCTCAGCCACGTTGCTTACAGAAAGCTTCAGTCTGACTTATCAACTGCCTCCAGCCCTTCTGGACCTGCTGCAAGGTCAGCTGGAAATGCTTCAGACCTTACTGCCCTCCTGCTAGGACCGCTGCCAGAAGACGCACACACACACACATATACAACACACAAACAGCCAAGGGTTCAGTGCCAGGGGAAGAGGAAACTGGGAACATTCATGTTCTGACAGGAGAGGATACAAAGTCATTTCAGCTCGAGGATTTCCCCAAACCAGCTAAAAAGGCAGCAAGCACTGTGGGGAAAAGGCAGGCGACTTCACAGCATCTTGCTAGGAGGGGATTCTCTTCCCAAAACAGCAAGAGGAAAGTCCTCTGAGAAGCAAGAGACAAAACCCCCAAACGCCAAGTTCCTCTGGTCACTTCCACTGTAAGAGATGCAGGTCCCTGGCACACAGCACTGACCCTGTCCACAGTTAGAGCCTTCGTCAGTAACTTGCTTAGGGGACAGTGAGTGGCCAGAGGCTGTAAGAAAGAGGGACTCCATCAGGCTGAGCACCACTAAGGAGGAAGCACAGAGCCTCAAAACTGACCATAGGGGTGAAGTAACCAAGTTACAGGAGGACCTGCAAGATCTGGAGCCTTACAGAAATCTACCTTTTGTCCCTTCCCTAAATACCCCAATTGATAAGGCTTGTCCTCCAAAAATCCAAGGCAAGAAACCTGCTGAAGCCACACTCAACACTGCACTCTACCTCACAGCAGCCTCACCGTGAAGCCTGCATGAAACCATTCATTGTCGTCCCCCCGAGTTTACCAGTCAGGATTTCAGAGGTCTGTTCCTAAAGGTATTTGGCAGCACTTCCTTTACATGGCAAAGAGCAGACACTGAAGATCATAGGAACTATGCAACCACTCTTACTTGTTTATCCCTCTTCTCAGCAGCATTGGACGGCAAGATCGGTCCAGGTTGGACAGAGCCTTGGGTGCCATGGTTTAGTGTGCGGTGTCCCTGCCCATGGCAGGGGGGTTGGAACTGGATGAGCTTAAGGTCCTTTCCAACCCAAACCATTCCATGATTCTAAGATTGAAGAACTTGTTATTAACTGAAAATCAGCTAATTCAGAACACAGGAAAGGTTTTTAAAACCCCTACAACCTTTAGGGGGGTTCTGTCTGATCTGACAGTAGCAAGGTGTGGCATCTGCATAGAGATGTGCATTCAGAAGATCTATTTAAGTACCAGTGTTACCTCAGTGTACCCCAGTGCTGCCCCAACGCTAATGGCTCATCAGCCACACAAAAGAGTGAGAGTTCCTGGCTTCCTTCTGAGGATTACAGCAGAATCCCAAACAAAGTCAGATTTGTTCCCTCCCTTTGGAAAGCTGAAGGCTCCAATTGAAAGGGAGTTTTGAAGACAAGGAGGAAGGAAAAGTGCTTAAAGGAGTTAATGCCATATGCTGGATTACCAAGCAGTTAGTCATATAAATAGCAAAGCAACACATGACAGCTCAGCTGCCTCCCAACTTGCGCAACCCCACTGGGCTGAGCACACCCCAACACGCTGGGAGCTCTCAGAGCACTCTCCTCACACTGCAGGCTCTGGATTTCCCTGTTATACTAAAGGGAAACCCCTACTGGAATATCATGAATATGGTATTAGAAAAGGAAACCCATCAGGAATTAGGACAGGATTAGAATGAGGCACTTTCACCACCAGGGTTAACAGTCAGTTCAGGCCCTCCAGTTCCAGGCCCTTGTTTATGCTTCACTCCTTCCCGCTGCAAAAGGCAGCCTTGTTTCCTAGGAACCTGGTTTCCCCCACATTCTGCATCCCTCGGATTACCCTGGACCCAACCTCTACCTGGTCCCTTTTCACTGGTCAGTTAGAAGTGACTACTGCAAATCCCTCTGAAGCACCCATGCTTCCCCAGCAGGTTACTGCCACTCCTGAGCACCGGCTACAGAGTGGCCCAGTGTACACCACCAGCCTCACCCCAGCCTCTTCCATCCAATTCACCTTTCTTGGGCAGAACAAAAACCTGCAGAGGAAAAGGTGTTTAAAAACCTGAGCCTGCAGAGCTTTCCCCCAGCTCCTTCTGCAAATCAAAGAGCTCCACACAAGAGTTTTCACACTGTTTCCAAATCCCAAGAACGCTTGAGGAACCTGCTGTCTGCACCAAAACCTCCCAGAGATCACACCAGAAAACAGTCAACTTTGGACTTGCAAGACTGACCCCATTTAAAAAGGTGTTCTTAGAGCCTGGACAAAACACTACTTCTCCAGGAATCCCCTGGCCTCAGGCACTTGAACAGGCCTAAGGGTTAGGAGCCTGCACATAGAAGGAGTGATTTCCATCTCCTGAACACGGAACACGAGGTAACCCTGGCTCTGCAGGTTCTGAGCCCCAGTTGTGCATCTGATGACTTGCTTTAACAAAGCACAGCCGGGTGAAGCTTTGCTCAGGCACCAGGCAGGTGGAAGGCTCCATAAACACCCACTGCTCCTGGCTCAGAGGGACTCCCCTGCCCTAGGGAAAACAGCAGCAGTTGGGAAACTTGGGGCCCGTGGACCCACCCTCTGAGTGTCAGAGGCATTACCTTCTAGTTCTCAGCTCTGTCAGTGGCTCTGCAGGGTGACAAGCACAAGGGGAGTGTGTTATTCAGTTCACTGACAGCCGAGGAAGCCCCTGCTGCCACGAACGAGGGCTAAGACTAAAGCAGCACCACGAGTGCAGCTGCAGCTCCATCATCCCCAGTCAGAGAGACAAGGCCGCTGACAGCCAAGGAGCTCTGCTCACTCTTAACCACTGCCTGCAATGATCTGCTAAGGCCACTTCAGAGCACAAAGCAATTTGCCTTCCAGGTCTGTGCTAAACATAGACGTAAACCAAACACCGACACACCTTCCAGGGCTGCTCAGCATCAAGGAGCTAAAACACAGCTTTGTAACTTCCAAAAGAAGCCTGTTTCCTCCATCCTCAAAACCTGCACTACTAAAAGTCCACCTGAAACCACTCTACTTCCTTAGTCTTAGTGTCCCTAGAGGGAATGGTTGCCGGGGGGGGGGGGTAAAGCCACAATCAGTGCAATGCCTCCCAGCACACAGCCCATGGTTAGTCCAGAGTCCCCACACCACCAACTGCTGAATGCTAACCACCTCTGGAATCACTCCTGCTCACTGGCAGAGCATGAGGCTGAGAAGTTCCTGACTGGGGTAAACAACTAAAACCACTGCTGTGTTATCAGCCTTGTTCTCAGGCTAAAGTCGAAACCACAGCGCTGCCCCAGCTACTAAGGAGGAGAAAAATGACTGCTACAGCTGAACGCAGGACACAGGCTCATCCTTATGTACTGAATGATGAGAAGGTATTTACAACCATAAAGGAAGGCAAACCAGGGTGAAAGTTTGGCTTTGGAGGCTCAGCAGAGCCCTCAAAGCCTGTGCCAAATCCAGTATGAGCTACAACAGCTCAGCCACAAACTGGAATTCCAGGGTCATCGCTGCCACACCAAGACTGTAACAGCTTCTTGATGTTAGTGGCTCAGAAACCTACCCCTTCTCCTTTCCAGAGGATGCTCTTCCCAGCTCTCTGCATTACAGAGAGCATTTGCTCCAAACACTTCCTCAGCTGCTGCTAAAAGGCTTTGAGCTGAGTCACTGCAGGTCTAAATCAGGACTCGAGCTGCTGAGTCAGACTGAAGTGACAAGGCAGAGAAACATTCACACTGACACATCTGACAAGGCCTTTTTTAAGGGAAACCCCCCTTTTCCCAGAGGGAATCTTTGTATCTGGTACACTTCTGGTGCTGGGCATGAGACACATACCCACAGCACAGCCTCACCAGCCAGGAAGGCAGCAGCTCTGCATTTGGAGGGGAGAAGGAATGAACCCCATCGGCACCCACATTTCCACTGGCTACATTTCAAAGCTTCCCAGCTGGGGCACATCCTCCAAAGGCTCCTTCCAAGCCAAGTTTCCCTCTGATGGTATAAACTGGGACACTCACCATTAAACCCCATCTAAATGGGACAAGCAGTAGCAAAACACCTCCAGCAAACTACTAACTTTCATTTGGCAAACGTCACTGACTCTGTCCTTTGGGTTTCTCCTACCCTTCCATACACTCACCTGCAAACCCAGGGGAACCTCCCATCTCCTGCCTCCCCGCTTGACCAGGCTCACACCTAAACACATATTCCTACAGGACCCCTCCCAAACTCAGCTGTGCAATGCATTTTACAGCACTCCATGCACTTGTCATCACTCAGTTCTTAAGAGCTCGAGCACTTGCCTTACAACACAGCAGAAAGGTTCCTCCTGACGGATACGGACTTCATGTCTCTGGAGAATTCTCTTCTAGAAGCAGCAGCACGTCCAGGACAACTTTGTGATTCCAGCTGAAAGCACAGAAAGAAGCCCAAGTAATCCATGCTACTGAAGTACAGACTAAATGAAGCTGGGTATAATAAATACCTAAAAGTAG